CTTTTCTTTGCCTACCAAGGGGTCAGAGTACATTGGTATTTTCCTGGGGCCATTTCTCAAAGATGATATTTTGAAGATCATACCAGTGTAAAAGCCAACTTGGGCTGACCATTAGCCCAGGTTAAAGGCTTTTGCTGTCATTGGGATTACAACAGAATGCATGGGTGTGAGGAAGTGCTCCAAGGAGGTGGCCACGCCAGCTGAGGGGTCAGCATCTTAGCTGAGCTCTTCACTGTTCCTGTGCATCGAGGATACTGGGGAACATAACCAGCAAATCTCACACTGTCCCTTGTAAGGTGATGGCTGTTGTGACTCTGTGCTGGTGAGCTTCACCCCTACCCCAAGGGGCACTGGCACAACCTCAGCACTTGTGCCCAAGAAGCTGCAGGTGACGACTGGCTCATTTTGGTCAGGGACTACATGATTGCTACACATTTCAGGCAGGGACTACACCCTATTTTGGGCAACTTGGCCAGGGCCACATTCAATGCCATCTGCCAGACCTATAGCTATCCCTCTCCCAAACTCTGGAAGCAGATTTGGTTTACCAAGTCCCTGTATTAGGAACTCACCAATCACCTCATGAAGACACACACCAGAGTCTCCGTACTGTACAGACCCAGGTTTCAGCTGTAGGCATGACATAACTTTAATGCAAGGCAAATAAAGTGACTTAAGCCTGTATGAAAAACAGAGCTTAGCTCTGTCATCAAGTGACATGCTAACTTAATGTTTCAACAGTATTACTCTGGTTGGTTCATTAAAACAGACCAGAAAAGTGCAGAAGTTTGGAGAGGTCAGGAGATTGCAGACAGAACAACAGTTGAAGCAAGAAATAACTGAGGTGGGGTTAAGAGGGAAACACAGTCTCTGCAGTTATTATATAAATGCGAGGAGATGTCCTCTTTCAGACCAATAAAAACAGCGACTCTGTTGAGTTTGTTATGTGCAATTTCAGTGAGGTAATGGAAGGGAGGGGGAGGAGGGTGGAGGGGAAGGAAAGGGGGAGGGGGAGATGGAGGGGGAGAGAGAGAGAGGAAAAGTACCTCTTATAAAGGAAGGTGCCCCCCCCCCACACACACACACAGGTAACTGAGGACTTGGTGGTGGGAAATGTGCACTGGTGAAGGGAGGAGAAGGGAGGTGAAGGGAGGAGGTGTTGGAATATTGTATGACTGAAATCAAATCATGAACAACTTTGTAACTATATCTCACAGTGAATACATAAAAATATAAAATTAAAATTAAAAAATGGTAATGAGGGAGATAGCGCAAATGGCAAATCATGTGCTTTGCATGCTGTAAAATTAGACTTAAACTGAGATCGATACCACTTATTTCTTTGAGCATCACTAGGTGTGACCCCAAGCAGAGCGGGGAGTAGTCACTGAGCACTAGCAGTTGTGACCCAATTGTGCCATCACCCACCAAAAAAGAAAAAGCAACTTTGGTTTGGAGTAAGAGTCAGTAGTAGAGCACATGCTTTGTATAAATGAGGCTCTGGGTTTACTCACTGGCACTGCAAACTTTACTAAAGAAAAGACCAATGAGACGTTTATAGAAATATCTCAGTATTACATTTCTCATTGGAACTTGAATTATTTTTCATAGAGGTCTATTCTTGAAGTAATGCTGAATCAATGCTTTCTAAGAGACGGGGGCAGAGGTGGGGATATTCCTGGCTCTGTGCTCAAGAGTGATCCCTGGCAGTGTTCAGGAGACCAGAAGCAGTGCCAAGACTGAACAAGGGTCCATCACGTGCAAGGCAAGTGCCTTACTCCAGTCCTATCTCTCCAGCCCTCAACGAATGTTTCAGTAAAGAAAAATAAGCATTAATTCTAACCCTACCTGATTTTAATGAATTTTATTATAACTTTTCACTCTTTATAACTACACAGCATTATTAAGAAGCAACGATTAGCTCTAATTGGTTTATAGACGAAACAAACACAGTCCTGTGCTTATTTAAGTATGGCTGTCAAGCTTCTGCACATAGATCAAGGTCCTTTTTTCCCAGCTCCTGGTGGTCACACCAGTTACATAGCACCGGCACCTGTTTTGGAGTCAACCACAACAAGGAAATTACATGGAGTAATTTAATCTCAAAATGTTATCTTTAGGGGGCTGGAGCGATAGCACAGCGGGTAGGATGTTTGCTTGTACGCGGCCGAACCGGGTTCGATTCCCAGCATACCATAAGGTCCCCTGAACACTGCCAGGAATGATTCCTGAGTGCATGAACCAGGAGTTAACTTCTGTGCATAGCCGGGTGACCGAAAAAAACAAACAAAATGTTATCTTTAAAGTGTCTGCATAATGCAGTAGGTTACTGGTGCCTGGCCACCCCAGGTGGGAATAGGTTTCATGCCTTGGCCTGTTCCCCTGGGTGGCTCAGTGGCTGCCATCCTCCAGAGGCCATTGGACACTCAGGTTTGGGTCTGCAGCGACAAGACACGCGGGGCCTCAGGGGATGGGGGTGGAGCCGGCCCTTTTCTCCCTGCCTCAATAAGACCCTGGGTCGCTGCCCATGAACGACCTCTCTGGCTCCTGATCAAGCTGCTTAACGGCCATGATCCAAGAGACTCAGGAACAAATCTTGGAACCCAGCAGGTTTTGGCAGAAATCCCTCCAGATTTAGTTGTCAAAATTTTGGAATTCCAAAATCACGCAGCCACTACTGTGGCAGCACGACATCATATGTTATTCATAACCAGGAATAGAAAACAAATTGTCTATGGTTGTCTTTTCGGCAGATCTGAGTGTTGGGATAAAATTCCAAATAATAATGGTGGGTCTGGTGGATCACATTTGAAATATTGAATGTGATCTAAGTAGAGAGAGAGTAATGTGGAAGTCACCTGCCCCATAGGTAGGGGGAGGGTGTGGGATGCAGGGTATACTGGGGTTTTTGGTGGTGGAAAATGGGCACTGGTGAAGGGACAGGTGTTTCATCATTGTATGACCAAGACTTAAACCTGAAAGCTTTGTAACTGCTCTCACGGTGATTCAATAAATAAGTGCATAAATAGGAAAAAAAAAAATTAAGGTGGAGTTCATGCCCAATTCAATCAGCCTAATCAATGGCTAAATAAATAGCAATACTCCTACATTAAAATAAAAAAAAATAAAATAAAGTATCTGCCACAGAGTCAGGCTGCAAAGGTGGGGGATGGGTTCTGGGGGTCAGGAGAAAAACTGGTGATATTGGTGACAAGAAAAAATGCACACTGGTGAAAGGATTGGTAAAGGATGTTAGAACATTGACTGAAACTCAATCATGATCAAAATGAATTAAAGACCTCAATATCAGACCTGAATTCATACGGTCCATGGAGGAAAATGTAGGCAGAACCCTCCATGACACTGAAACTAAAAGCATCTTTAAGGATGAAACACCACTGACCAAGCAAGTGGAAACAAAGATAAACAAATGAGACTACATTGTAGAAGTTTCTGCACCTCAAAAGAAACAGTGACCAAAATGCAGAGAGAGAGAGCCCAAGGAAGAGGGAAGAATATTTACCCAATACCCATCTGGTAAGGGGTTAGTATCTAGGATATACAAGACACTAGTAGAATTGTACAAGAAAAAAAGCTCCAACCCTGTCAAAAAATGTGGAGAAGAAATAAACAGAAGCTTCCTCAAAAAAGAAATACAAATGGCCAAAAGGCACATTAAAAAATGTTCTAAATCACTAATCATCAGGGAGATGTAAATCAAAACAACAATGAGGGGGCTGAAGCAATAGCACTGTGGGTAGGGTGTGTGCCTTGCATGTGGCCAACCTGGGTTCAACTCCCAGCATCCCTTATAGTCCCCCGAGCACGGCCAGGAGTAATTCCTGAATGCATGAGTGAGGAGTAACCCTTGTGCATCGCTGGGTGTGACCCAAAAAGCAAAAAACAAACAAACAAACAAAAAACAAAGAGAGATATCATCTCACACCACAGAGACTGGCACACATCACAAAGAACATGATCAACCAGAGCTGGCATGGTTGTATGGAAAAAGAGACTCTCTTTCACTGTTGGTGGGAATGCCGACTGGTCCAATCTTTTGTAAAACAATATGTTCAGTCCTTCAAAAACTAGAAATTGAGCTCCCATATGACCCTGCAATACCACTTCTGGGAATAAATCATAAGGATACAAAAAAAGCACAGTAGAAATGATGTCTGCACCTGTATGTTCTTGCAGCACTGTTCACAATAGCCAGGATCTGGAAACAATCTAAGTGCCTGTGAACAGATGACTGTTTAAAGAAACTTTGGTACATCTACACAGTGGAGTACTATGCAGCTGTTAGGAAAGATGAATGGAATACTATGCAGCTGTTAGGAAAGATGAAGTCATGAAATTTGCTTATAAGTGGATTGACATGGAGAGTATCAAGCTAAGTGAAATGAGTCAGAAAGAGAGGGACAGACATAAAAGGATTGCACTCATTTGTGGAATATGAAATAACATAATGTGAGACTGACACCCAAGGACAGTAGAGACAAGGGTCAGTAATATTGCTCCACAGTTGGAAGCCTGCCTCATGAGCTGGGGGAGAAGGCAGCTGAATAGAGAAGGGATCACTAACTCAATGATGATTGGAGAGATAGTTCAGGATGGGAGATGTGTGCTGAAAGTAGATAAAGGATCAAACGTGATAGCTTCTCTGTATCTATATTGCAAACCATAATGCTCCAAAGCAGAGAGAGTATGAGGGAAATTGTCTGCCACAGAGGCAGGGGTTGGGATGAGGTTGGGGGGATACTGGGGACACTAGTGCTAGAAAATGTACACTGTTGGAGGGATGGGTGTTTGATCATTGTATGACTGAAACTCAAACATGAAAGCTTGTAACTATCTCACAGTGATTCAATTGAAAAAAAAAAAAAACCTCAATCATGAACAAGTTTGTAACTGTGGTCTCACCATGATTCAATTAAAAAATAAATTTTAAGTTATCTTTGCCCAAAGAGCAAAAATAAGTAAATAAATTTCATACATACCACTCCAATTTTTAGCCATCTTGAACATATTTGCAGCTCTGGTATACATTTCACAAGCCTCTTCTATTCTTGTATTTCCACTAAGAAAAATATTAAAATGAGGTTAAAGTTTATTATAAACATTCACATTCCTAATCTTCCCTCTCCCAAACAATAAACATTTAACGCACTTTTTATGGCTGAAACAAGCATCTTTAGAGCTTCTCAAAACGATAGTATCACCCCTTTCTTCCAAATAAGAAAACAGGCATCCAAGTATAAGGTAGGCTACCATCACAGAGCAAGGATACTAAGAGACTGAAAATCAAATACAGACCAGGCTGTCCCTAAATCTGCATTCTTAATCAGAATCCTTTCCATGAATGAAAACTGAAGGCTTCTAAATCAGTCTATGAAATTAGAAGAACATTGAAATGGGGTGGCAGAGTAGGGGAGTGAAATGGGTCCATGTAATGACGTAGATCAAATGGGCCAAATGCAAGATAGACAACCTTAACAATCTCTCAAGTCCTGAAGTACATTTTTAAAAGATTAAATTCTGAAGGATAAAAGCAGTTTTGTTCTGTTAATTACCAAGAGTGTAACAATATATTTATTCCAATTTTAAGTGCCATTCTGTTCTATTATATGACCATATTCTATGTAGTATTAGCTGGCTCTTGTAGGTGAACAAGCCCTTCTCCAACATGGAAGAGGTTTCATATTCCAGTTCCTTTCCCCATGTGAAAATGCATTCTATAACATTTTGGAAAAAGGAAATTCTACTGCTGCTTGAAAACACTGACTCTTATGACACTGCTTCTTTTTTATTATTTTATTTTAAGGGCTGGAGCAATAGCACAGTGGGTAGAGCGTTTGCCTTGCACGCAGCTGATCCGGCCAACCCGGGTTCTATTCCTTCACCCCTCTCAGAGAGCCCAGCAAGCTATCGAGAGTATCTTGCCGGCATGGCAAAGCCTGGCAAGCTACCCATGATGTATTTGATATGCCAAACACAATAACAAGTCTCACAATGGAGACGTTACTGGGTCTGCTCGAGCAAATTGATGAACAATGGGAGGACAGTGGACAGTGGATTTTATTTTAAGGGCTGGAGCAATAGCACAGCAGGTAGGTCATTTGCCTTGCACTCGACCGACCCGGGTTCGATTCCTCCATCCTTCTTGGAGAGCCCAGCAAGCTACGAAGAGTATCCTGCCAGCATGGCAGAGCCTGGAAAGCTCCCGAGGCATATTCAATATGCCAAAAACATTAACAAATCTCACAATGGAGACGTTACTGGTGCTTGCTCGAGCAAATTGATGAACAACTAACAGGAGGACAATGCTACAATGCTATTTTAAAGAAGCAGCTCTCCATGAGATCCATGAGGCCATCTTTATTTATTTGTTTTTGGTTTGGAGGCCACACCTGGCAGTGCTCAGGGCTGCTCCTAGTTCTGCACTCAGGAATTACTTCTTGCAGTGCTCAGGGGCCCATGTGGGATACCAGAAATTATACCTGGGTCAGCTAGAACCCGGGTCAGCTGCGTGTAAGGGAAACGCCCTACCCACTGTACTACTGCTCTTGTCCAACACTGCTGTTAGTGAGCAGCTTTAGCTTCTCAAATTTATTCTTACAAGTTAATCTAATTCTCTGTAACTTCCATCAGTCATTATTTCAATATTTTTACTGAACTAAACTAAGGTTCTTTTATGTATGATTCATCTCTATCTTGTCTATTTACATAATAAACACAAAATAGAAATCTAAGATGAAGAAAACTATACAGTACACATAATGAACTCAGACACAGGACTAAGAGACAGACAAGGTCAAGGCATACCCTTGATGACTGAGCACAATATGAATATGAGCAGTTCTCCAAAGATATACAAATGACCACAAACCATATAAAAAGATACACATTCTAAGTTAAGGAAATACAAATCAAAACCACAAATGATATACTACTTCATTACTACTAGAATAAAAAAGAAACATATTAACACTTGATAAATTATTAAGATTGGGAAACTGAAACCCTAGTACACTGTTTATACAATTGTAGAGTTGGAAAAGTCTGAAGATTACTCAAAGGTTACTATTTGACCCAACAATTCTATTCCAAGGCAATTAACTAAGTAAAATAAAAGAAGAACCCACACTCTCTCTGGAAAGAAAGATGGCGGCTGCACGGGAGCCTTGTGGACAGCAGGTTTGAGCCGGGGGCGGGCGGGGGGGGGGGCAGCAGGGGCCTCATGGGAAGGGGGGCGTTCTGGTCTGTCCTTCACGCCCCACCGAGGTCACCAGCTGCCCCCCCACGAGCGGCTCTCCGGCACGGCCACGGCCCCGGAGGCACAAGGACTTAGCACAGAGAACCACCCGCTTGGAGCAGAAAAGCAAATGGACTATGTGTTAAACCGCGCCACCAAGCCTGCCCGGAGGGGAAAGGGTGTTGTCCCGCTCGCCCGCTCCTCTCTGGAAAGAAAGATGGCGGCCGCACGGGAGCCTTGTAGACAGCAGGTCTGAGCCCGGCGCGGGGGGCAGCGGGGGCCTCATGGGAAGGGGGGCGTTCTGGGCCGTCCTTCACGCCCGACCGAGGTCACCAGCTGCCCCCCACGAGCGGCTCTCCGGCACGGCCACGACTCCAGAGCACAGAAACCAATCTCTTAACTACCTAACTTTTAATAGAAATACTTCCAGGGTTAATAAGTGAAACAGCAGAAATCCAAAACCGCGCGGCCGCTATTGGGGCCGCGCGACATCATTTTATTCTTAAACCAAGCTGTAGAAAGCAAATCATTTCACAACACTGTTTCAGCATATCTGATTGGGGGGAGGGGTCGTAAACTCTAAACAATAATTGTGCATCTTCTATCGAAACAATGTATCTAGTCAAAGTAGATAGAGTATTAACTAGAACTCATCTGCCTCACAGGAATTGGGAGGGGTGGGAGGTGGGGTTCTATTGGGGTTCACGGTTAAAAATAAGTATTGGTAAAGGGAAATGTGTTTGATACTTACATGACTGAGACCTAAACCCGAAAGCTCTGTAACTTTTCCCACAGTGATTCAATAAAGAAATAAACTATTAAAAAAAAAAAAGAAACAAGAGAAAAGGAGAAGATATAAGATATGATTTAACTGATCAAAATTAAGTCCTTGCTAAAATACACTACAGTTTTACCATACTGATGTGGTATGGTAATATTTTACAATGTTAAAATTTTTATAACACTTAAAAAATAAAATTGAGACTTTTTTAAGTCTAAAAAAAAAAGAAGAACCCACACAAAAACCTTTCTATGAATGTTTACAGCAGTATTAATCAAAACTTCCCCTCCCCCAAGATGTACATAACAAAAAAATCTAACAACTAGTAAATAAATAAAATATGAATATGTACAATAGGATCTTTTTAGACAATCTCAAGAATGAAGTTGGAGCCAGAGCAGCTTTGTACAGCACAGGGCAGCCGACCAGGCTCTGACCCCGCCACACCACATAGTCCCCTGAGTCCACCAGGAGTGATCCCTGAGCACAGAGGCAGGAGGGCCCAAAGCACAGTTGAGTGTGGCCCCAAAATTTAAAAAAATAAATAAAAAGGAACTAAGTATTGATACATGAAGTAGCAGATAACAACACAGATGAGCTTTGAAAGCATTATTGAAAGAAGCCTGTCACAAAGAAGCACATACCGTATTCCAGGTGTTTAGAGGGTCTAGAATTGGGGTGAGTTATGTAATATGTAAAAGCTATCTCAACAATGCTACACAATCTCTCACCCCAAAAAACATAAATTTTTACAGCTCTGGCATCTGGTGAATGACAAATGGCAAAAAGTTACCCCCAAAATGTATCTGAATAAGAAAAGGTCTTTCTTATTCACACATCCACATTCCCTTTTCTCTGCTTCAGATCTACATATAGAAATACACACACAAACACTTAGCTAATTTCCCCAATGGAAAATTCCTATCATGAGAAAGTTTTCTATCTTATCCATAGCTCCTGGGAGCTAAGAAAGGAATGCCACTTCATTCTATCTTATTTTTCTAAAGCATAACAAGAATCCTGAACTGTAATTACAATGCAATCATTCTTACTAAGAGTTTCCAAATAAAACCAGCTTAGTTAAAATGTACTTCATCCTATTTTTTCAGAGACAGATTCAGCTAGGAATAATAGAACGCCTACATTATGCCAGGTTTTATGCCAGTATTTCTACATATGTTCTATCACTTTTATTAACAACAACCTTAAAAGACTTGAAGAGAAAATGATGTGGAGCTCAATGGCTAGTTCAAGGTCATCTAGTCAAGATCTGTGATCTTTGTAAAAAATTGAATGAACTTTTCTGGATTCTCGTCTCCCTGAAAACAATCACCAAAGATTCTCATTTTCAGCAGTGTTCTCATTTTACAAGCACTGAAAAAATTCTCTTATCATAAACAGAACTTCAAAACTTCACTAAAATATGCAAAATTATCCCAAAATACTTGTTTGATACATGAGGTTTAATTTATATGGCTTTAAAGGACAAATACAAAGATTTCATATTAAAATAATCAAAGTAATTATTTTGAGGTAGGATTATGGGTGGGGAATCTACATTACGATTTGAACACATGGTACTGTTAATTAAGAAAGCTAAACTGAGTCAAACTGACTCGCATTTGGCATTATGGTATTATGACTGAGGAAGAAAATGCTTTCTCCACTTGCCTACCCACCTCTGTCATCAGACAGTCCCGATTAGAGTGATTCTGAAGAGCTCAAATGGATCTACATACAGGCAAGTCACTGATCTTTTAAGAATCAATTTGTCAAGTAATCTAAAATCTTTATTTTCTCCTTATATGTTGGATAACACTGGGTTGTCTTTGCTGCTCCTGCAGGGAGCTTAAGGTCTATTGAGCCACTCCTACAACAGTGCAATTGAGACACAACTAATAATCCTATATTGCTTTTCTCTTTCCTTTATGTCAATTGTATGGCTTATTTAGCAATGTCCTTTTTGGTATAGACACAGAAAGATAGTTGATGCTATGCTATGTAACATGGGAGTTAATTGACTCCAAAATAATATTTACTCCTG